TTGTCTTGGTTTCAGATTACTGCTAACCAGAACCCCCAAAATTTCTTTTTCGCAATCCTAATATTAAGATCTACATTTTTTAGTTTATATGTGGCATGGTTATTGTCCTGTCCAACATTAGAACTTTGCATTTGCTATATTAAACGCATCTGCCACTTCTCCGACCACTGCATCAGTCTTTTCAAATTTTTCCGGGAGTGCTCGAATGTCCTCGTCAAAATGAATTCGACGCCTATTTTGGTGTCATCGGCAAACTTCCCGATGTCGCTCTTTATGCCCTCATCAAATGTGTTTAGTAAGATTGTGAACAGCAGGGGGCCCAACACTGACCCCTGTGGAACACCGCTCGGACGCTTCCCCACTCTGATTTCTCCCCATTTATGCAAACTCTCTGCTGCCTATTTGTAAACCATGCCTCACCCAGGAAAAAATTTCTCCCCCTATTCCATGTGCTTTAATTTTCCCTCAATAGTCTCTGATGTGGGACCCTGTCAAAAGCCTTACTGAATCCATATACACAATATCATATTCATTACCATGATCTCCCTCCTCAAATCCCTTAGTGAAAAAAAGTTAATAAATTCGTAAGGCAGGAATCCCCCTTTTGTAAAACCATGCTGAGATTCGTTGATTAAATTTTTGCTTTTCAAGGTGGCTACGAACTGCCCGGCAATTATTGATTCCATAAATTTTCCCACTATGGAGGTTAGGCCCTTTTTGGTCTATGTTCGAAGCTAAGGACCTGTCACCTGTTTTGAAAATAGGTATCACATTTGCCATTTTCCACTTATCGGCACCATGCCAGTTTGTAGTGATATGTTGAAAAATTAGCCAAAGGTGTGCTAAGCTCCTCTTTACATTCCTTTAGAACCCCTTTCATACAGTTCATCAGGGCCTGGGGGTTTGTTTAGGTTTTTAAATTTATCTATTTCCTAAGGACCATGTCACTTGTGACCCTAAAAGTGCACAGTTATTATCGTCCGTTCTACATAATTTATCATTACCGGAATATCGCTGGTATCCTCCTGTGTAAAAACTGAGAGGAAGATGTGTTAAAAAAATTCTACACATTTCCTTATCACTGTCAGTGAGCTGACCCGAGGAACTTTTGAGTGGGCCTATCTTGTCCCTGATCTTACTTCTGTATACCTGAAAGAATCCTTTTGGGTTAGTCTTCGATTCTCTTGCAACTTTAACCTCATAATCTCTATTTGCTTTTCTAATTCCCTTTTTTATTTCTCTCTTTAACTGAATATATCGATTTCTTAATTGCCCCTCTCCTCTTTTGATTTGCCTATATATGCCTCTCTTTTGACCAATCAGATATTTTAATCTATTGTTCATCCATTTAGGATCATTTTTGTTTGATCTGATTTCCCTATTTGGAACATAATTTGACTGAGCAGCTAGAACTATGCCCTGGAAAGCATCATATCGGCAACCATCACCACCTACCTGACCCCTAGTCAGGTCATTCCAGTTCAGCCCACCTAAGTAATTTTTCAGTCCTATGAAATCAGCCAAGCGAAAGTCAGGGACGGAGACTTGATTGCCATTATTAGGGGAATTCCATGATATGTTAAAACTGAGTGATTTGTGATCACTCTCCCCAAGCTCATCATTAACCTCAAGATTATTAATTAGTGTTTCCCTACTGGCAAGAACCAAGTCAAGGAGGTTATTTCCCCTAGTTGGCTCTGTCACAAACTGTTTTAAAAAACAATCCTGGATCGTATCAAGAAAGTCACCCGACTATAAATTTCCTGTCAAATTGCTCCAGTCAATCTGTCTATAGTTGAAATCTCCCATTAGCACAACATTTTCGTATGTAGATGCCTTACGAATTTCGTCCCATAGAAGTTTACTGCACTCCCTATCAAGATTTGGGGCCCTGTAAATCACACCCAAAATTAGTTTTTCTCGGCCCTCGAGAAGCTGTAACCAAACAGATTCAGTGGCTGACGCTTCTAATTTAATATCTTGTCTAACACAACAATTTAAAATTGTCTCTGACATACATCGCTACTCCACCACCTTTCCTGTTGACCCTGTCAGTGTGGAATAATTTATAGCCTTGTATGTGACATTCAGAGGGCATCTCTCTATCTTTCAGATTGAGCCAGGTCTCTGTTATAGCAATAATATCTATGTTTCCTGCACTTGCAATTAATCTTAGCTCATCTATCTTATTTCTAACACTCCTGCTATTAGTATAGTAAACCTTAAGGGAGCTAGTCCCTTGCTGCCCTCTGCTGTCCCCTTTGTTTGCTGACCTGTTCTATTGTCTTTATTTATAACTTCATGCTGAATGCCTTTTATACATTTACTGTTACCAACCCTAGTGTTGCAACCTGCTTGTTTCCCACACACACCCATACCTCTATCTTCCATCAGTTTAAAATCATAGGCATTTCACCAATGGCCTTCTCAATCGAGTCTGCAAGTGCTACCACCCCTGCCCCAGAGAGATGTACCCCATCCCTTGCATACATATCATGTTTGCCATAAAAGTTGTTCCAGTTGTCAATGAATGGGATTGCAAGTTCCTTGCAGTATCTGTCTAGCCAGCAATTTACACCAATTGCCCTAGACAACCATTCATTTCCTACTCCCCTTCTAGGCAAGATGCTACATATGATTGGGATCCCTCCCTTAGACTTAATGAAATCTATAGCTGACCTGTACTTATCTAGCAGCTCTTCTCTCCTACCCTTCCCAATATCATTTCCACCAGCACTGAGACAGATAATGGGCTTGTTTCCATTACCTGACATGATATTATCCAGCCTGTTGACAATGTCCCCAACACCAGCTCCAGGGAAGCACACTCTATCTCTCATCTTCTTATTCCTATTACAAAAAGCACAGTCAACATATCTTACCTGAGAGTCACCAACCACAAGAATGCGCTTACCTTCATTAGCAGGGGCAGTAGTACCCTTACCTTCACTGGCCACTGAAGTACATTCATCCTGAAGAACAGAGAAGCAATTTCCTACCTTCAGATCTTCACTCTTAACTTTCCTTACTCTGATGCGCCTCCCATTACTGTGAACAACTCGCCACTTGTAGCAGGTGCTGGGCTGCACCTCACTGCTGGTAGCCGTTGCTACCTCCCCACCTACAGCCTCCTCACAGTGAGAGACAGACTGCACCTCACTGCTAGAAGCCTCATTCCCCACATCTCCAACCACCTCACACTCTCTCCCAGGCCCATTAAGGTGGACCTTCAGCCTCCTAATCTCCTCCTGGAGAAGCAAGACCTCCTCCTTCAACTCTCCAACCTCAGTTTTTAAAACACTGCAGAAGCAAGCCATGCTTTGTAACCGTCCACGCTAATCCCCAAAGCAGCTCAGACATGACATCTCCACTGTCTCCAGCCTTCTCCTCGCTGCAACATTCATCACCCATGCTTCACACCCATATAAGAGCGTTGGTAATACTATACTCTCATACATTCCCCTCTTTGCCTCCAAGGACAAAGTTCTTTGTCTCCAGACTCCTAAGTGCACCACTCACCCTTTTCCCCTCATCAATTCTATGATTCACCTCATCTTTCATAGACCCATCCGCTGACACGTCCACTCCCAAATATCTGAATACATTCACCTCCTCCATACTCTCTCCCTCCAATCTGATATCCAATCTTTCATCACCTAATCTTTTTGTTATCCTCATAACCTTACTCTTTCCTGTATTCACTTTTAATTTTCTTCTTTTGCACACCCTACCAAATTCATCCACCAATCTCTGCAACTTCTCTTCAGAATCTTCCAAGAGCACAGTGTCATCAGCAAAGAGCAACTGTGACAACTCCCACTTTATGTGTGATTCTTTATCTTTTAACTCCACGCCTCTTGTCAAGACCCTCGCATTTACTTCTCTTACAACCCCATCTATAAATATATTAAACAACCACGGTGACATCACACATCCTTGTCTAAGGCCTACTTTTACTGGGAAATAATTTCCCTCTTTCCTACATACTCTAACTTGAGCCTCACTATCCTCGTAAAAAACTCTTCACTGCTTTCAGTAACCTACCTCCTACACCATACACCTGCAACATCTGCCACATTGCCCCCCTATCCACCCTGTCATACGCCTTTTCCAAATCCATAAATGCCACAAAGACCTCTTTAGCCTTATCTAAATACTGTTCACTTACATGTTTCACTGTAAACACCTGGTCCACACCCCCTACATTTCCTAAAGCCTCCTTGTTCATCTGCTATCCTATTCTCCGTCTTACTCTTAATTCTTTTCAATAATAATAATAATAATAAATACGATATAATTGAAGAAGGAAATTGTACAAAAATACGAGGGAGTGGTTGACACATCGTCAGTGTGACTTTGTTTATGCTGGCGTGAACATTAGTCTCCCTGCTCTTCCAAACATTTCACAATAATTCAGCGGATGAGGCAGTGGTATTTAATAACATATATGTTATAAATAATAATAGTACATGTTATTATTAATAACATGTATTATTATTAACATTTTTTTTTTTTCAACAAGTCGGCCGTATTTAATAACATATATGTTATAAATAATAATAGTACATATTATTAATAACATGTATTATTATTAACATGTATGTTAATAAATACCATTGCCTCAATCACTGCCTCTACCACTCCTGTCACACTCAATTTACAATTATTATTATAATCAAAAAGAAGCGCTAAGCCACAAGGACTATACAGCACTCAATTTACAAGCACCAAACACAATGAATTATTGTGAAATGTTTGGAAGAGCAGGGAGACTAATGTTCACTCCAGCATAAACAAAGTCACACTGACGATGTGTCAACCACTCCCTCGTATTTTTGTACAATTTCCTTCTTCAATTATATTATTATTATTATTATTGTTATTATTACTTGCAAGTTTTATGGTATTGCTTTGAAGGAAAATGGGTATAGTTTTTAATTATATTAATGTATTTTGCCTTTGTAAAGCTAAAAAATCCTTCTTATTTTTTTCTGTTGCAGGTGGATACATGGGTTACAAAGCAAATGAAACTAGCACCAAAACAGATGCAAGGAGGCTGGTTTACCTCATACCTAAGTTTCTTTGATGTACAACAGTCATTATCTATAGGAACAGGAATAGCAGTTGCTGTTGCTGTGGGAGTCAGCCTAGCTGTGCTGGTGATGACAACCCTCAATGTAGTAGTGAGTCTGCTGGCAGTCTTAAGTGTAGGCTCTGTTATTTTAGTGACATTAGCTGCATTAGTTTTGTTAGGGTGGCATCTTAATGTTTTAGAGAGTGTAACAGTGAGTGTGGCTATAGGATTAGCTGTAGATTTAACATTACATTATGGTGTTGCCTACCAGTTGTCCCCTGAGGCTGATCGTGAGGCTGCTGTGTCTTGGGCAGTGGCCCGTCTAGGTAGCCCAGTATTTATGGCTGCTGCTACCTCACTTGCAGCTGGTATCACTATGCTGCCAGCCAAAGTTTTAGTTTATGTTCACATTGGTACTTTTCTTACCGTAGTCACTACAGCTTCTTACATCTATCCGACTCTCTTTTATCTTCCTCTTTTGCGTATATTTGGCCCTGAATCAGGGTGTGGACAACTCTCTTATCCACAGTTACGATGCTGCTCTTGTTGCAGTCAAGGCTCTCAGCCCCATGTGGATAAAACTGTGTATCAGCAAGCATTTATGAGTGAATCTACTTTGTCCACATCAAGTACATCTTGTCCAGCACCCCAGACTCATCCATCATCTGATACACACGAACTTGAGCCTTTAACTGCAATGCGATTAGCTGGTCGAGGTGGAACTCACACTCGTGCCGTCCACAACCCTACTAGACATAAAGTTGGATTAGCCGAACCCCCACCCATATCAGTTGTGCCCCATAACCACATAGCAGCTCACAATGAAGTAGGAGTCAACTCAGAAACAGGTCGTGCTGCTAGATCCGGATCTTTGTCATCATCAGTGTGCGTGCGGGACCATGCAAATTTTGTCCCACGTAAGGTCTCTCTGCCTTCACCTGGAGGTGCTGTGAGTGAAGGGGGAGAACCTTCTCCAAGACATATTGTAGCACCAGCATCATCAGCTACAACAATCCTATATTCAGAACCAGACATGGACTGTGGACAACAATCTCAGCATGCTCCAGAAGGTAACACCCCAATAATTCGCACCCCTGATAATGGAACACTAGTCGCTTAAGATATTGTGGAACAAACATACGGCTGTGAGAGAATTTGTTGTACCCTCTTGTGTGATGATGCTGATGGTGCTAAATTGAAGCTACCAAGGAGTATCTGTAATTGTGATATCATCTTGCTCATTCTGTTTAGTAACAGATTATTCATCAACAGTCATTTTAAACGACAGCGAGGACTGTGGAGTAGTCTGCCTGTGCTAAGGTTTAATGAAACAACATTAAATCACATATATGAAAGTATGTTTTAAGATTTAGAACAAACTTGGCTGTGTTTGAGAATTGTTGTACCCATTGTATGATGATCTGATGTGCTAAATTGAAGTACAGGGTATTTTTATTGTAATCTAATTTGCCATTTGAAATGTGTAAATAGTTATGTTTCATCAGTCTTTTAAAAACGACATCAGTTTAGGTAGAGAAATTCATTTGTATAAATACATTTTAATATCAAACTGATAAATAATAATTGGATAAGTAAAGTAAATGGAAGTCGACTGTGTTATGTTTAATGAATGAATTGTAGACTGTGAATTTACAAATGAAAGTACCCTTCCTTTGTGAGTGGGTAATTTTTTGTAATAATATGCGAATTTAAAAAATTTTAGCCAAATTTGAATTCAAGCATTACAGTCTTTTAAAATAATAATTTTCTGAGATAGTATTACATTTTTAAAATATTAAAATCAATTTAATATTTTTTTAGCAAAATTATGTTGACAAGGAAGCAGAATGTAGAGAAAATTACATGACAAAATCGTAATAAATTCCAGACTAACTTTATAAATAAAAGGAGCTCAGTGAGTTAGTAATTTTTGATAAATCTGGGGTTACCATTGTACCCTAATTTTGCTAAATTCAAATCAATTATAATTTTTATGTTTTGAATTGTATGTTCGTTAGTAATTTTTAAAAGGTTTCCAATAAATTTACCCTGCCATTTTTTTGTTTACAGCTCAGAGCTTAGTAATAAATATAAAATAATATTCTTAGATCGAACTTAACCTTCATGCATTCATTAGTGCATTGTATATTTATTTACATAGCTGATGTATTAGTACTCACATTTTGCACCTTCATATTTTCATCTATTTACTGATTGATATTTTGTTAATCTATTTTCTCTTTCCATTAAGGTTTCCCCAAACTATATTGTGGCTCTACCTTTTCATTGTTTCAGTCAGCTTTTTATTTGAGTATACAAATAATTTATCCTAGATTTATGTGTCTAAAACAAGTGCATTCATACTCGTGTATATGCAGATTATGCATGTATGGAGCTGACTTGTCGGTAGTGAGTGACAGAGCCTACACAAATTAATTTTTTGGTAGGTTAATAATCATAATTTCGTCAATATTTTAAAATGATCTTAAATGCATGATTCTGAGTTTTTTAAAGAAAATAATAAATCTTGGTATTAGATAGGTCGAGACACATTTAATTAGTCCAATTTATTGAAGGATAGCCTCAGCATCAGTGACAAGACATGCACTTGAGCTTGTAAGGTTTTTCTTTAGGTTTGGGTACTTTGATGATCTTGGCGCTTATACACCAATATGTGTTGTCCATAGTATTACCATTTTCCAAAAAAATCCCAATACTTATAACTGGAGGTAGCAAGATAAGCATTCAAATTCTTGATGTTTAAAAAGAACCTATAAAAGTCATAGGTGCCAGTTAAAATTTTTTCAATGGCAATGAATTAACTATGCCATTTTTTTTGTATGTATAGAGTGACTGCGAAAACATAGCCGTTCCCTTCTTAACTAAGTTTTTCTCCGTTTTGACATTTAAATGATCTTTGTGGGTTATGTATCCATGTAATGGTGTGTCATAATGTAGTCATACAGTATTAGTCTAATCCCAATACATTCAGTTCACTTTAGGACAACATGAACCCTGCTCAAAATTATTTTGATCGAATAATTAGTTAATTAAACTGCCAAAATTTTATTAAATGATTGACAATGAGAAATTGAATAGAAACTGTATTTTTTTTTTTTGTAGAGGTTTGTGACATACATTTTTCTATAAGTTCACTACCTAATAGAATTTTCCATACAACTCCATTTTATGTAATGTAATCGCATGTGAACAGGGTATTCTATGTATTCGTTAGGGTCATAAATCTGTAGCATAAGTGTTTCAGCATATTGAATGCTGTGGCAACATGGATGGTCAATGAATTTAATTTTGATTGTTAGAATTGTGAAGTTGCAATAATAAGTAAGTTAGATTTTGCCTGTAATGTTATGACAAATAGGAATCAAAGTAAACGAGATTTTCATTTTATATTAGTTTGAAATTTATACAAAATACTGGATAAGACGTAATTTTAATGTGAAAACTCAATTTATGGTATATGAAAATTGGTCATATTTATCTGTCAGATACTTTTAGCATGATGAATAGTAATTTTAATGACATTTTACTTTACTTAAAATTAATATTTTTTAGTTACAAGACTTGAGATAGTTTTGTTTTAGTAAAAGATAATAAAATATTTTTTAGTATTTATCATAACTGCTTTTGAATAAAGTAACTTTGGATTTATATGCTTCTTTAAGAAGTTCAGTTCATTATTAGTATTAATACAGACTTGTTCAAGTAACAGAAGCTGTAACTGACCATTAGTCTTAAAGTGAGTGTTAAGGGCAAAATGATTTAAACTTCCTGACTGCTGATAACTTCATAATTAAACATATTAAATTAAGAGAGATTGATTATAAGAATTTGTTTTTGTTCAAACCCTTTATATATTTATTAATAAAGAAGGTTCAATCAGTATATTTTAATTATAATTAAATTTTGAGGTTATCAGTCTTGAATTGACATAATCATGTGCCTAATATTAATTTGTAATCGGCTATAAGCTATATTACATAATTATAGTACACTACTATATAAATTGGTAATTAAGGTCTCAATTTATTAAGTCTAGAAGTTATCTAAGCCATATTTATGTAAGTATTATTATTATAATCAAAAAAAGAAGCGCTAAGCCACAAGGACTATACAGCGCTGCAGGGCAGGAAGGAAGCGAGGGCATCAGGTGGCAAAAGGGAGATGGATGAGTAATAGGTTACGGATAACAGCGGGGTAGTGGATGGTGAAAGGGTAAAGGGCAGCAAGAGACTGAACTAGAAAGGGCTGAGGGGAGTGCGAAAAGTATCATCAGAGTTTGTGGAGTAAATCAGTCGTTGTCAAGAAGTCAATGAGAGAGTCAGGATTAAAGGAGGGTCCATCAGCAAGAAGGGAAGGTAAAGAGAGAGTAGTAGAACGAAGACGACGTTGGAGGTAAATTCTGCGTGCTCGTTGATAGAGAGGGCAGTCTAACAGAATGTGGCTAATCGATACTGGAACTTGACACTGCTCACAGAGAGGAACAGGGTGCCTCTCCATGAGATACCCATGAGTAAGACGAGTGTGGCCAATGCGACGGCGGGAGAGAGTGGTCTCCCAACCTCGGCACTGATGACAAGAAGACGGCCAGTAACCTATGCTCGGTTTAATAGAATGAAGTTTGTTACCGAGCAGAGTTGACCAACGTTGTTGCCAACGGGTGCAAAGGTGGGTAGCTATTGCAGCAAAATAGTCCAGAAATGGAACACCTCGATAGGAAATTGGTAGGTCATGCACTGCTGACCGCGCAGCAGTGTCTTCCTGTTCATTGCCCTGTACGTCGACATGACCAGGGACCCAACAAAAAACAATATCTTTATGTTTGGTAGAGATATGGCGTAGCCAAAGTTGGATACGGAGAACTAGGGGATGAGATGTATCAAATTTTTGTATAGCCTGTAGAGCACTAAGGGAGTCTGAGACTACTACAAATGATGACACAGGCATAGATGCGATACGAATAAGTGCTGCAAGAATGGCATACAGTTCAGCAGTAAAAATGCTAGCTGAAGATAGTAAATGCCCCCGCACGACGCTGTCCGGAAACACTGCTGCGAATCCGACGCCGTCTGAAGACTTAGAGCCATCTGTGTACACAGCGGTGGCATGAGAATGGGAGTGGAAGTGATCAAGAAAAAGAGAGCGGGAAGCCACCGTAGGCAGTTGAGCTTTCGAGCAAGGGAGTGAGAAAGAACAGACCCGAACAGCTGGAACTTCCCAAGGGGGTAGGGAAAAGTGAGATGCTACATGAACATATAAAGGTGGTAACTGAAGGGAAGACAAGAGTGAATGTAGGCGAAGAGAAAAGGGACGGAGCAAACAGGGGCGGCGAACGAATAAAGAATGTCTACTAATATCGGTGACCATTCTATAAATGGAAGGATTGTGTAGATCGTGAGAGCGTACATAGTAGCGAAGGCAATGGGCATCACGGCGATCAGACAAGGATGGAACATTTGCTTCTGTATAGAGGCTCTCAACAGGGGAAGAGCGAAAAGCACCAAGGCACAAACGTAAGCCTTGGTGATGGATAGAGTTAAGGCTAGAGAGAGTAGCAGGAGAGGCCGCGGAATAAATCTGGTCACCATAATCGAGTTTCGATGAAACGAGGGCAGAATGTAGGCGAAGCAGAGTTCGACGATCGGCTCCCCATGAAAGATGAGCAAGGGTTTTAAGAAGGTTTAGCCGGCTGTAACAAGTTGCCTTCAGAGAGGTAATGTGAGGTTTCCAGGATAACCGACGGTCAAAGAGAAGGCCTAGAAACCTGACTGTATCACGTTCGGGGATACGGGAGCCATAGAGATACAAAGGATGATCGGAGATAACAGAGCGTCTAGTGAAAGTAATTTGGTGAGTTTTGGTACTTGAAAATTTAAACCCATGCGTGGTGGCCCAAGTGGAAACACGGTCGACCGCATGCTGGAGAGAAACTGCAATAAGGTGACAGTCAGCGCCTGCACAAGCAATAGCGAAGTCATCAATATAGAGTGATGACCAAATATTGGGTGGAAGAACAGAGGCAAAATCATTTATAGCAAGGAGAAACAGTGTTGTGCTTAGAACACATCCCTGAGGGACACCTTCAGCTTGGACGAAGTCTGGGGAAAGAACATTATTGACTCGAACACGGAAATGTCTGTCAGTTAAAAAGTTCTTAACCCTTTCAGGGTCCGTCCTGTAGATCTACGGCTTTACGTTCAGGGTCCAAACC